TGTACCCAACTACCACAACAAGATATATAACTCAAACTTAAATAACTTTCTCTATGCGTTCGAGTACTATAAGTTACAAAGTAATTAAGTTAAGTTATACATCCGTTACAAAGTAGGGTACTTCCTCAAAAACAAAAAACTTGATGCCAAGTTCACTAGATATTTGAGTATTAGAGTGATTAATAATATTCTTTGTCAAGGAAAATGCCTCCTTACTCGAGTACTTGCCATATAACCCTAGATCTTTGGGAGTTAATATCTTGTGTAGTGCCGTCACATGATTGATACATACATATTTATATATATATATATATATATATATATACATACATATACATATATATATGTAAGAGAAAAAAATGGACGCTTTGGAGATGTACAAAAACACCATCTCTTTCACCACCTTATTATTCTTATCCTTCATGTTTTTTTCTTCCATCCCTTGAATCGTTTTCATGGGTACGAATGGAAACCCAAAACCAAATTCATTTCCTATAGACACATACATCTCGTACTTGTGTACACATCATGATCTCATACGTTTTCTATAACATGTTTTTTCTATCTTGTTCTGATGTGAAATAATTTCTGACTTTGTCACTTTGTTCGGATCCAAATCAAATATGGACGAACTACTTGGAAACTCCCAAACTCAAGTATAATTCTTGGTGTTCTTGACACGTGGACACAACGCCATCCACGTAAAATAGAAAAGATCAAATCAAAATGGTGTGACGTCAGCTAAAGAATGTGACGTTGGACACACACTCAACATGACCAAACTTACGTTGACACGCAGGCAAGGTCACGTGAAGTTCATTCACGCACGTGAATTACCACACCATCTACTTCAGTGCTCTCCAATGGCAAATTCATTGGGTTTTTATTTTTATTTTTATTTTTTTGGCCTCAAAATTTATCTCACCCCATAAAATCAAAAGTTAAAAACCATGTTATCACTCACATTCAACGTCCATCTTTTCTATAACACGTAACATTAAATACAACGGTGCATGCATTCAGATGGGAATAGGGGATTGAAAAGGATGCGGCCTTAAGCGACTTGGGGGCCCACCAACCACAAAAAAAATTGAGAGAAAGAAGAAAATAGGTTAAGACTTGAGATCAATTAAAATTAATAGGTCAATAGTTTACATAAGTTAATAAATAGGCTAAATTATTATTTTTGTCCATAACTTGTCTGGTTATGAACCATAAATTGACAAGTTATTGTCCATAATTGTCCATAACTTGTCTAGCTATAAATCATAACTTAACAAGTTTATCCATAACTTATCTGGTTATAAATCATAACTTGACAAGTTATGATCTATTAATTTATATAACTAAAAATTAATTTATATACTTTTTTAAATTTTTTATATTGGCCTATTTTTTATTATTTATCCAAAAAATTTAATAGGGCCACTTCAGATGGTTCCAAATCCCTTACTGGGGTCCGAAGGGTCCACGTGGAAATTGCCCATTCCCCATGATTGGGACCCAATGGTGGTCTCCAACACTCCAAATTCATATATCTAACTAAGAGGATTAGCTTTCACAAATCAAAATCCACTGGTATTAGTAAGCAAGATTAGACGGCATCTACTGTTCGCTACAGCACAAGCATATTTTATAATTAACAATATAAAAAAAAAATAACTTTCTGAGATCACATTTGAGTGACAATTATCTGACCAATTCATTTTTCTAAATTTGTTTCCCTCTGATTTGATATCTTATTTAATTACTTCAGTTACATTATATTTTCCTTTCAAAATTCCATTGAGTGTTTTTATTTTGGTACTTTAGTAGAATGGGTTCCACCTCTCTCAAAGCCAGTATAAAGGAAGTAATTTGTGTGCCCCACCAAGTCCTAACTTTTATGATACATTATCGGAAAAGGCTATTTAGACATTGATTTAATGTGCTATGCGCCTTAAAAAGCATGGGCAAGTGAGACATTTTGGTTACCTTAATCAATGGAAGTACACTAGAAACAACAAATCATACAAATCGGTGATGATCTCATAGATTCTACTCAATGAGGGAAAAAAATATCATGATTTCCCAAAGCAACATTGAGCGTTGTGTTTAATTGTTAATGACTGTTTTGTGCTTAATTTTGTATTGATCATATCAAACATCTCTACAATTAGTGGAAGTCTTCCAGGAGGGGCAAAAAAAAAAAACAAAAAACAAAAAACAAAACAAAAAGGTGAAAGGCAAAACATCGCACAAAGGAACATATCTTTACAAGATTGCTATACCAATCTTCTTATATGCATTACACACAATGAAAAGGGTGTATTAAATGGAGAGAGTTATTTTTATTTCCACCCATAAGAACTATATTTTAGCTGTTAGTTTAGTTGTTTAACAGCCTGATTTAGGGTAAGGACAATTATATATTGTGCGCTATAAATTTATAATGCAGATATGTACAAATATGACTATTAAAAAATTAATCTAATAGTTAAAAATAATATATTTTTTTTTAACATGAAAACTTGCACTTTATTGAAAAGCCGCTGAATCAGTTTGTACAAAATAATAGATAAATCTCAGGTAAGATTTCACCCAATAAACATCAACAGAAGCAGAAAAAATAAAGGCAGCTAACATGTGGGCTATAAAATTCTTAGAGCGAGAGACGTAGCAAACAGAATCACAAGAGGCCTCAAAAAACTGATAAGACATCACCAATGATAGATGAATCCGTAGATCTTGATTTATGATGATTGAAAGTGCGAACCACATCCACAGAGTCAGTTTCAACAATAGTTTTTTATCAATAGAATAAAAATACATGTCCTATAATAAAAATTCCTAAAAAAAAAAATGAGAAATAAGCTTTTTGTAGAAAACCCATTATAGGGAAGTCAAACACTTTATTAATTCCTTAATCCATGATTTTCAAAAGCTTGTATGATTTCATGAGTTGAAAAATGGGGAGACATCCTCCAAGCATACTATAATGATATAATAGATAATAGATATGATATTGTTATGTTCTCTTATGAGTGGGATAAAATATTGTTAAAAAAAAAAAAGGAAAGAAATACATAAATAAAGGATACATAAAAGCTCACAACTACATGATAATCCAAAAATCCATAGATAACATATTATATTAGGAAAAGGATAATATGCTCTGTTCAAATACAGAGAACAGGGACAGAGTGAGCAAAGTTGTACACCTTCCATCTTATTAGGGACAACTTACCCATAAATGAAGAGCAATTACCCTCCACATGGCGCGTAACTACACGCCTTTAAGAAGGAGTGGGCCTCAAGTTATACAATCAAAGGCACAACGACTTCAAAGTTCAAAGGTAAGCCGTTGGATTAGGATGAGGAACGGTTATGATTTGGCCAAAGTCAAAATTAGACAAAACCTATGAAGAAAAATTATACCGTACTTGTCAATTCTTATATATAGATTTTCATAATTAAATGCATCTTTAGGCTAAATATGTGATTGTTGTATAAGAATATATTAGCATGAGCATGAGCATCCCTAGCATGTTTTTATTCTCTATCATATTATTATATCTGTGAATTATACGTGATTTCTTGTAAATGCTTGGAGCTTTATCATACGTTACAAGTGCAACATACGTTTTGAGGTAAAAAAGACGGAATACAGCATAAATAATATGAACATCACTCTGAATCCTTTTTCAATCAATTAATCATGTCTTAAAAGTCATTAAAAATGTCCATTCTACTTTATATGTAATATATAAATATAACTACAGTGAGTCGCGAAGCCAAATGTTTTTACGAGAGTGGACTAATAACTACAACAAAAATTTAAAAGGGTATAAAATTATGGGTACGTTTAGAACTCATTTTAAAATAATTTTATTTTTTTTTTATGAAAATAGAAATAAAAACGTTTTCAATCTCAGACAGAAATTATTTTTAAAAACGCATTTAGTAGTTTTATCAATATATTATTTTCAGTATAAAAAAATTCATTAATGTCTTTCTCTCTGCTCGAGAGAGAAGAAAACGGAAACAAAAAATGAAAAATAACTAAAAGTCATTTTTCATTTCTCTCTCATTTTACACTAAACCAAAAAATTATTTTTATTTTTATTTTTTGTCTTTAATTGTACCAAACGTTGTTTATCTTCCGTTTTCATTTTTTTCTTTCTCAAAAAATGTAAAAAACAAAAATAAAAACAACTCCAAACACAGCCTATATTTTTAATTTTTCAGAAAGGACATTGTATATATTTTTTTAGGAATAGTCCTATAATATAGGTAAAAAAGAAAAAAAAAAGTTGAGGAGGGCTTAGTCCTTTAGTAGCTACATCTCTTACTACAGTCATATCAAGATATTAAATCCCCAACTTAAATAAATTAATCTTTTAAAATAGAAATCTAATATTTTAATAAAATATAATTCTTCTTCTTCACTTTTCTTTTATCTCTCCTCAAACTAATAAGGTATTAGAGTCTATTGCTAAAAAGAGAAAGAAGACAAATGCTCCACTTGCATGAGGTATTAACTAAAGAATGAAATATAAAAATTTAGATCTATACACTTTTAAAAGTAAATTACATAATTTTTTTATTTTTTTTCTATTACATTCTTTTAGGATTTGATAAACGTGCTCAAGAGAAGGAGTTTTTCTCATAATTCACCGTACTGATAGTTTTTAATTTTTTACTGTTAAATTTAATTAAAATTATATTAAATTAAAAAATATATAAAATAAAAAAATAATAATATAAATTTAACAGTTAAAAAATAAAAAATTATTAATAACCCATTATAACCACCGGATGAACTCTGAAGGATAAAAATGGACAGTAAAGTTTTCAGTTTTTCGTTTGTTTGTTTGTTTTTGTTTTTTTGTTTTTTTTGTTTTTTTTTTTGCGTGTGAAAGTTTTCAGCTTTGACTGCAGTAAAATCCACAAACAGGATAAAAGCTGAAATTTGTGCAAGCAACTTCTCTCTCTCTCATTCTCTCTCTAAAATCCACAAAGGTCTTCGGTTCCCTGCAAGCTGCAGCTCTGCTAGGCTTTCGCCGTCTTCTGCGTCCACTTGGACACGCTCTCTCTCTTTCTCTCTCTAGACTCTTATTAAACCTTCTCTCTCAAGTTGGTTTCTCTTTCCTCGTGCTTACTCACTCTCTCACTGACTCTTATAGATATTGCACTTTTGGGAAATTTTACAATTAGTTTGCACATGTTTAATGCATGTGGATTAGCGTTACTCTTAGCTAAGATCGAGAATCCCCTGATTTTCTCCAAACTTTTTTTCGACTTTTAATGGGTCCTCAAGATTCTGGCTGTTCTTCGTGTTAAACGTTTTGAAATTATCGTTCAATTAGGAAACTATGATCTGGGTTTTTCTGGGTTTTTAGCTAATCATTGGAAAAGTGTAAAAGAATGAGTTTTTAATAAAACTCGAAGCAGCTTAAATTTGGAAGTTGGTTTTTTAAATTTTGTTTAGGAGATCTTAGGGAGCCATATTAAAGAATTGGTTTGACTGGTACTTTATTTCATTTTTCTGAATTTTATATTTCCACATTTAACTTACTGATAAGGACTTTAGTATTTAAAAGAAAGATTTTATTCTGTAAATATTTTAACTGTAAAAGTAGCACCATTTTCTTTTCTTTTCTTTTCTTTTTCCTCTATAAGTTCAATTGGGATTGTCTTATCGCGGGGTTTTTGGCCTGGCTTTTATGTCTTCAAACCCTGTTGGGTTTCGTCCAGTTTTTTGGGTTCTTTGAACTAAGCATTTAGAGTCAAGAAAAAAAAAAAAAAAAACATTCAAAAGAGTAGTTTTGTTATCTGGAAAACTAGGCTACCAATAATGAACAAGGGATTGATCTTTGGGGTATTTTTCTCTAAGTAATATAACAAGCAGTGGTTCCAAACTCTTTCCATAACTTTCATCATCATCATAATCATGCCTTTATCCGAGCTATATCGGTTGGCTAAAAGAAGGGTGGATTCAAATCAAGATTTTGAGTAAGTTTTGCTAATTTTTTCAACTCCTTTTATTATCTGCTTTATTATTTAACTCTTTTGGATTTATTCATTTATATATGTTTTTTTTTTTCTTCTCTCCTTTGTGGGATTTTTTTTTTTTTCTGCAGAAATGGGAATGATGTTTTTGAGCTGGTATGGGAGAATGGTCAAATTACAACACAAGGTCAGTCCAGTAGAGTTAGAAAGGAACCAACTTGTAACAGCTTACCATCTCACTGTTTGCCGTCTTATACCCCAAAATCTCGGGACAAAGATTTAGGAAATGGCACAACCACAAAGACAGGAAAGTTTGGGACAGTGGACTCTGTGCTTAATGAGATTCCAATGTCGGTGCCGTCCGATGGAGTCGGTTTGAGTCATGACGATGACATGATGCCATGGCTGAATTATCCGATGGATGGATCTTTACAACATGAGTATTGTCGTGATTTCTTGCCTGAATTGTCTGGTGTCACTGTCAATGAGATCTCCAAGAGTAACAACAATTTTGCAACAAATGATAAGAGTAGTTGTAACCAGCTCTATAGGGAGTCCAACGCCAATTCTGTAGATTATTGTGCCAGTTTAGAGCAAAGGAATAATTCTTCTAAGGTTGGTTCAGTTGTTGCAAGTGATGTTAGTACTAGACCCAGAACTGGTACTAGTCAGTTGTATTCATCATCATCATCTCAGCAATGCCAAGCATCATTTCCATCTTTTAGATCAAGGGTCTTGGACACCGTTGGTGATAACACAACTAGTGCAGCTCACCATGCTGTTTGTAACGATTCGGGTCGAGTTTCTTCGGTTGGTGGTTTCCCTAGCCTGAAAATGCACAATAGGCAAGATTCTATACCACCTAGTAATAGCTTCAATGTACTTAATTTCTCTCATTTCACAAGACCTGCTGCTCTTGCAAAGGCTAGTCTTCAAAACATTGGTACTATGCCGGGCTCGAATATGCCAAATAAGGAAAAGGGTTGCGCTGCAAATGGTAATAATCCTCCTAAGTCAGGACTAATTGACACTGGTAGTGGTTTAAGGAAGGAAACAAGTGCACATTGCCAAGTAGTGGCTTCCTCTGGGGTTAATTTGAAACCGTCGGAGGCTAGGTCTCTTGAGGAACCATGTGCTGCTAAAGATTCCGAGGCTGTTTGCCGAGAAGATGCCTCGAAGAACGACATAAACAACAGCTTTCCTTGCGAAAGTACAAATCGTGCCCTGCCGGATGGTGAGAAGAATATAGAACCTGTGGTTGCTTCCTCTTCTGTTTGCTCAGGCAATAGTGTGGAGAGAGCTTCAGATGATCCAACACATGTTTTGAAGAGGAAATTTCGTGATACGGAGGATTCAGAATGCCATAGTGAAGTAAGTTAGAAAACTGGTTTTTACATCACAGTCTCAATGTTTTTCCTTTTCCGCAATAAACCAAGCAAAACCATAATGTCCAGGATGTTGAGGAAGAATCTGTCGGTGTCAAAAAAACTGCGCCCCCTCGAGCTTCAGGTTCCAAGAGAAGCAGAGCTGCAGAAGTGCATAATTTATCTGAAAGGGTAAGGTGAATTGTTCAGCGATAGTATTCTGGTAACATAAGAGAATGTGTTAGTTTATGGTACAGTTTTTTCTTTGCTGTTCTTTGTGAATTTTAAGATCTTAAACGGTTTCTTCATTTTCCACTTGTCTGAACAGAGGCGAAGAGATAGAATCAATGAAAAGATGCGTGCCTTACAAGAACTCATACCAAACTGCAACAAGGTTGGCTACTTTGTCGATATTCATCACAAAATTCCTGCTCTCTGGATTTTATAATTCTGAAAAGTTTCTAATGATTTCAAAGATGTAAATGTTATAAGCGGCTAAAGCTTGGCCTTGTGGAGGTCGAATTGCTTTAAAAGCTCAAATGCATTTTTCCTAGATTTCAAACTTTTAACAATTTTTTCCTGATATTTGGCTGCACCTATTTCAAGTAATTCTTGAATAGCCAAGGAAGTGGCGGAGAGCATACTTCCCAAAGACTAAGCAAGTTACTTTTAGTTTCTGTGTAATATGTATAGATATATGTTTTGCAAAGTTTGATTTGGGTGATTTTTTATTGAAGGTGGACAAAGCTTCAATGCTTGATGAAGCTATTGAGTATCTGAAGACACTTCAACTTCAAGTACAGGTAAACCATCCCCCTCTCCTCCATGTGATTAATCCTTCGTTTTTTTTTTATAAATAAAACTTAATCTTTTGAATGAATCGGCATGTCTGACGGTAATATGGCTGTGTCCAATTTTTATGCAGATTATGTCAATGGGAGCGGGTTTGTGTATGCCACCAATGATGTTACCAACAGGGATGCAACCCATGCATGCACCGCATATGACGCATTTTTTGCCCATGGGAGTTGGAATGGGAATGGGGTTGGGCATGGGTTTTGGTATGGGCATGCCTGATATGAATGGTGGCTCCTCTGGCTATCCTATGTTTCAGTTCCCCCCTATGCAGGGAGCACATTTTCCTGGCCCGCCTATGCCGGGCCACACCGCTGCCTTTCATGGGATGACAGGACCTAATCTTCAGGTGTTTGGGCTTCCTGGTCAAGGACTTTCTATGCCAATGCAACGTGCACCCTTGGTTCCCGTGTTGGGAGGGCCGTTTATGAAGTCGGCTATGGGATTAAATGCTTCTGGGGCAGGTGGGTCTATGGAAAATATGGAGTCAACTCAGCCGTATACATCAAAGGATCCAGCGCAGAATATGGGATCTCATGTGGTGCAAAATGCCGGTCCCAGTAGCTCTATGAATCAGACAAATAGTCAGGTCTGTGCATATGGTCTGGAGTAATATTTTCTAAGAGAAAACTGAAGTCTCTGATCTTTTGATGTATTTAATTTTCCCCCTGTAAATTTTTTTCCTTTTTCAATAAAATTATAATCTCATTTTAGAAGTTAATGTTAGAAAAACAGAATAAAATTTCATATAATGTCAGCTCACCACTTCATTCTGGGTTACAGCATCAAAGACTCGTACGTCAATAGGCAAAAGGCATGCTAGGTTTCTCATCTCTACAAAACTCGTAATTTTTGCATTTCTTGAAGCCAAATCATTTCTGTTTTCATCTTTTATATCTCTCTAACTTTGGGAATGCTAAAATTATACAGCTATTTTTATTTTTTCCCTCCCTCTCTCTGAAAACTGCTATTGATCTCCGGCGAGCTCAGTCCTTTTCAGTTCATGTGCTGTTGAAACTCTTTTGCATTCGTCAGTAATCTCTTATACTGATTGTTGGGGTTTAAAAAAATGGTCGAGAGAAAACTTACTGTTAACAATATAACCTGTTATTATAGGTTTTGAGGTTCCAGCGTTTTTGTCTTTAATGATCATGACTGTGTTTAACCAAAAAAGATATATATATATATATATATATAGTGTGTGTGTGTGTGTGTGTGTAAACACATGAGTAGCGAAATTGAAACCCGATACTACTTTAAGTTAGGCTTTTGATGATCCTTTTAATATTAAGGACTGAAACCTGATTTTGTTCCATCATATTACAAAATATAGTTTTTGTGCTGCTGGAAACAAAAAATGAGTTTTTATCGGGCTAGACTAACTGTTTAAAACTTTGTTGCATCGTTGTAGCAAGTTTCATTCTGAATTACAACCGAACTCTCTCTCACCTTTTTTCCCTGAATGTAGTGTCAAGCAACAAATGAGGGATTTGAACAGTCTCCCTTGGTGCAAAGTAATGTTCAAGTGTCTGATGTAAATGGCAACAAAGCTTCAGCCTCCGCTAATGGAAATGATGCCAGGCCTAGTACAGCAGCTAGTAAGTTGAAATTGGCAAAATTCCAAACACTTGAATTCAGTTTGACATATTGAAAGGAAGTTCATTTTTGAAGAGGTGTAAGAACATGTTCTTCTTCATTTCTGTTTCAGGTTATGATTGACACTCGGTTCTGGTTATCATGAATCAAGGAGACAAATCCATTTTGCAGCCTCTTCTTTTTTGTTGATTGTGATCTGGGAAAATTTGATCAAGAGTACCGGAAAAAGGGTAACTCAGAGTAAATGAGGTTTGAACCTTTAGAATAGAATCTGAATTTTACTTTCAAGAGGGCAACACACCATATGACACAGATTTTGGTATCTTTAGAAGTCAAGCAACCATGTCTTGCATTTTGTAAATTGACCTAGTGACCTCTGTGCTATTAATGCAATGTAAGAGTTCCATATACCATTATTTATTTATGTATTCAAGTTTGTGTTTCAGAATCTTCCATAACTGTTCTTTCAAATATTCAAGTATAGTTTTATGTTCTCCATACATTTCTGACAATCTCTCTCTCTAATTTTCTTATCTCCAACCATTCTGATGCAACATCATATTATTGTATAAAACGTAGTGGTGGGTGTTTAGTTTTATTTATAGTCATTACTTTTGTGTAGTTTTTGGTTTCCATATGTCAAGTCAGATAATTATAGAATCTTCATTTTTCTTTCTTTTCATCTTCACCCTTAACTTATAATTTATTGCAATCCACCTAAAGGTTTTATTGATTTATTATTATCAGACTGGGTAAGAGCTTCTTAGGAGAATTGTTAGGTAGAGCAATAAAGAACTTTGCAATTTTCTTATGCCAACGTTTCTGTAAAAGCAAAAGGCAGTCATCCATAAAAGGGGTTAAAAAAAGTTACATCAAGTTTGAATAAAACCTCCTGTAAGGAATATAAGTAATCTCTGAAGTGAGATAACATGCAGAATCGAACACTATCAAAAGAATTTGATGTATTTTTCCTGAATCACAAATGATATCACAACTGTAACAACTAGTAAATATAGTCAAACCAAAAAAAATATTAATAATTATACATAATTCACAAACTAGACTTTTTTTTTTTCCCCCCTGTTACGAACAGCAATCAAAAACCACCAGACAAAACACTACTCACAACTGAAATCAATGGGATACAAGACAAAAGAATACCCAAAAAAAAAAAAGAGATAACAATGTCCTTTAGTTTTACAATATAAAGTATTGCATGCTTATACCTTCTATATACACATCCCTTCACCGCCAAGAATCAACAGCAACGCAGAAGAATCCAACCACTGCATTATAAAAAACGTCCAAGATATGCTGAAAGGTATAACATCTTTCTAAACTCATCCTTTTTTTTTTCCTCTTTTTTTTTTTTTACCAATTATTTGACTTTGATATCATCCTTGGCTTCAGATGCAGGCGTTTTGCTTGGGGATTTCCCAATGATGGCTTTCTTTGCTTTGACGAGAGAATTCTTCACCTTTGATATGATGTTGTTTGACTGCTTCTGAGCAGGCTTGGTCTGAACTTCTTTTGGCAAGTCTTTGGACGGTTTTGTTTCGTCACCATCTTTTAAGAGGGTCTCTAGTTTCTTATCAGATTTCTCAATGTCTTCAACTTTTTCTTTCTCCAATTCATTTGTTTCTGTTTCTTCCTTTGCATGTTCTTTAACTTCGGACTCCGTTTTCTTCTGTGATTCTTCAACCGCTACTTCGCGAGCAGCTGTAGTTACTTCCTCCTCGGCTTTTTCAGTCTCCTTCTCTTTAACTTCAGTCTCAAGTAGTTTGAACTCTTCAACTTGTTCATGAACAGTAGTAGTTTCTCCTTCCTTGGATTTAGGCTCTGCAACTTCTTCTTTCCCCAACTTAAGTGGATCAGTTTGTTCAGTTTCCTTAACTTGAGGCTCAGCTTTCTGGGATTCTTCAAGTGCTTCATCCACAGAAGAAACTACCTTATCCTGGGACTTGTTTGTGTCGGTGTTTTCAGTTTCCTTTTCTTTAACTTCAGGCTCGGGTTGCTTGGACTCTTCAATTGTTTCATGAACAGCAATAACTACTACATCGTCAGACTTACTTGCATCAGTTTTTTCAGTTTCCTTTTCTTTAACTTCAGTCTTAGGTTTCTTCGATTCTTCAATTGGTTCATTAAAGGCAGTAACCAGTTTATCGTATGACTTACTTGCTTCTGTTGTTTCCGTTTCCTTTGCCTTAATTTCAGCCTCTGGTTGCTTGGATTCTTCAACTGGTTCATAAACAGCAGGAACTACTTCATCTTTGGACTTATCTGCATCGGTTTTCTCGGTTTCCTTTTCTTTAACTTCAGATTCAAGCTGATTGGCTTCCTCTACTGGCTCAATAACAGCAGGAACTATTTCTTCCCGAGACTTATCTGCCTCGGTTTCCTTTTCTTTCACTTCAGATTCTGCTAGCTTGGATTCTTCAAGTGATTCATTGACAGCAGTAGTCACTTGATCCCGCTCTCCTTCCACATGCTCCTCTTTGTGGGTTTCGACTGATGCTAGTGTCTCGTCTTTTACTTGCTCTTGAGTTTTGTTTTCATTCGCAAGCACGATGTCTCTTTCAGCTACCTGAGATGGTTTATCAATGACTTCATCTGTAGAAGTCAATGTGTTGACACCCTCCACTTTAGCTACTTCGGCTGAATCCTCAGTCACCTTTTCCACTTTTGCCTCTTCAGTTTCCACATTCTTTTCAGTATATTCCTTGCCGTCCTCTATCACGGGCTCTGCCTCTTTCTGTATCTTTTCTACAGCATCAGCCTCACTCGAATCCTTCTTTTCTTCCCCAATAGCAACATCTTCTGTGACAGTGACAGTCTCCTCTTTAACTAGTGGAGTTAAATCCTCAGTTACCACATTATTTTTTGTGTTCTCTTTAACTTCCACATTCTTTTCAGCATACTCTTCTACGACCTTCCCTATCTCAAGCCCTGCCTCCTTCGGTATCTTCTCCACGACATCACTCTCGTTTAGATCCTTCTTCTTTTCGTCTGCAGCGGCCTTTTCCACAAAATCATGAAGTTTCTGATCAACCAGAACTTCTTCGGAACTTTTGACTTCAACAGGTTGCTCATCTTTTTCTGTTTTTTCTTCACTTAATGATACAGAAGTCTCAACCTTATCAACCAGAGACTCCTCATTTTTCGCCGTTTCAACCTCCACATTTTCCTTGGGCACAGCTTCAGAATCTTTTTCCTTGACTTCACTGGTTTTGATCGATTCTCCCGGTGTCTCCTCCTCTTTAGGAACTTCAGGCTCTTGTTCCTCCACTTGTGCTGGCACTGCTTCTGATTCTTCAACCTCTTTCACAACTTCTGATTCTGATTCTTGGACAACAGGATTCTCCGATATCTCCTTCGGTTTCTCAACAGCTTCGCCCAGTGGTTTAGGAACATCAACAGCCTTTGGCAGCTCCTCTTGCCCTTTTTCCGCTACCTCGTTGTGTTCTTCCTTTGGTTTGACATCATCTCCAGCTTGGCTCTTCTTAACCTCGGTTACTGGCTCCAGAACAACAGTTGTCTTGCTTTCCTCAATTTTATCTGCCGATTGAACATCCGAGGTCGGAGATTCAGTTGAAGGCTGTGCGTGGGTTAGTGAGTCCTCGGCTTTGGTTTTTTCTTCTTCTACACTTTCCTTGGATGAAGAAACACAATGTTCTTCTACACATGGAACATCTGAAATCTTCTTCTCATCTTCAACTACAGAAGGCTGAGTCGGCTTTTCATCTGTCCCTGCAGATTTAGCGTTAGTGTCTGGCACACTTGGTGGATTCTCAAGTTTGGATTTTTCTTCTCCACTTTCCTTGGACGATGAAGAAACTATATCCTGGTCTACAGTCTTTACATCTTCTCTCAGTTTCTTCTCAACTTGCTGCAAAATGGAGTTGGGGAAAAAAGATAATGTGTTTAGTATATGCATTTGCTGAAATGAATCAATTTGTTAAACAATCTAGATGAAATTTGGAACCGGAAAAACATAGTAACTAAAGAAAGGAGCACTACAAGCTATCTTTTCAATGTGTTGTAGCATTGCAAGTACTACGAGTGATTCGAGCAATGCTAGGTCCCAACTTTCATACCAAATTTTTGATACTAACTCAGCGTTGGTAAGTGCATTTATTAATTTTGTAGTACTAACTCATGTAGTAAGTGAATTGTCATTTTTTTTTATTAGTAAATGTAAGTTTTAATATTAATTAACGTGATAATATTTTAAACGTTTACCACTAAAAAAATAACAACTCACGTATTATGTCAGTTGGTATTAAAATATTGGAGCCCTGGTATTTTTCTTAGAACAACCCCATGTATTTCTTTATCCAAGTCTAAACAAAAAAAAAAAAAAAAAAAAAAAAAAAGGCAGACGAGGCAATAGAATTAGACGAATACTACTATTCAAAGATTCTTATACAAATGAGCAGTCACCTCCTGTTTTGTGTAGAATTCTCATGGTTTTTTTAGGAAACTCGACCGAGAGTTCATATGGAGAAAAAGACTAGAGGATGTTACTTATGTCTTACAAACTGGGACACCAGTTAATTCATAAAAAATAACAATAATGAATGATGACAATAATAATCACAAGATCGCTATTGTGTTCATGTTTCTTTAAACGAGAAGATTTTGGCCTCTTCTTGTTATCGAGGACGTGTTCCTTTTCATGCATACAGGTAATGTTTATAACTTGATTTTGAACCATTTTTTGGAGTTCTCACACCAAAACTTATTATTTCTTAACAACTATAGATGCAGATGACTATCGGCCTATCTATCATCTGCTTAGACAGCTATGTAGATATGTAAAAGCAAAGAACACTTGGAATTGGCTACTATATGTTTCCTTATCTACAAGGGTCTTGATAGAAAGAGAATAAATAAATACTTACATACATATATATATATATATAAGAAAAACCAAAGATTGATATGTACCCAAAAAAAGAGAGAGAGAGATTGATTAAAAAACCATAGTTACCATCAAATATCATCCACATACTTGAAGAAAACAGGAGAAATCAAAAAAGTTGGGATAAAAAGAACATGCTCTATATAGTAAAAGAAAGTAATATAGAGAGAACAAACACAGAAACTAGAAGAAGTAAAAAAAAAAAAAAAAAGTGTAAGATCACTAACCTCATCAGTGATAGAAGTTTGATCATGTGGTAGTACAGTTTCAGTAGCCATGAGAATTAATCGAGAGCAAAACAGAAAAACTTGCAAGTTCTTTGATGGGTTTTCAATGATGAAGAGGATCATAAAAAAGGAAAAGAATGATATGGTTGGCAACAACCCAAAGTAGCCCACTTGACCTGAAACTTTTATTTTTAGTGAAGCAGAAGAAGAAACTAACACACACAACACTCACAAAAGAGGAAAGAAAAAGAAAATTAAAAAAAAAAAAAAAAAAAAAAAAAAAAAAAAAAAAAAAAAAAAACAGGTTGTCAAAGACAGGCTATATCACATGATCTGGCATGCTTGGAATGATTAGCAATTGAATTCCATTAAAAATTTAATGTAACAGCATAAAATAAAAAAGTATCATATATTAAAATTTAAAGTGAATAAGTTGTCATTGCAAAGTGACAAACTTTAATGGGGAGTAGGGGACCAGAGACTTGATAATTTTAACGGTCGAAAATTAATATAAAACATGATTGATCACCTAGAACAGTACTAGTGGATCCCAGCCTAAGGTGGGTTCTATTTGAAATTATGTGGAGGGTTTATATTCCACAAGTAGAAATGTGAAAAAATGATTTTTCTTATTCTTCTTGTCAAACAAGTTTTCAATTTTAAAAAATTATTGACATAATTAGTTTTAATAGGACTATGGGAGAGAATCTTCTTGCATTTGGAGTTCAAACATTGGTTTTTTATTATGTGATTAACGTTAGTGGATTGAGATTATATGGTGAAAGAATATTAATAAAGTGGATGAATAGAAGCATAAAAGCGGAATCAATCCTTTTCTTGATGACATTGACATGACTGTTGAGACTTTAAGAGCGAGGATTGGGGCTGACCATCTGGGCCTGGCAGCCCATTTTCAAAAAGTCGCTCAGAAAAGGCTTCACAGTTCACATGGGAGGCCCTGCTTCGATAGAGTTCCACTTCTTTACGGAAAAAAGAGGAGAAAATTAGATAGGGCACCAGTTTTTTTTTTTTTTTTGCTTTTCTTTTTTGTGTTACTTTCACTAATGGCCGGAAACATTTATTTATCTCATTTTAGCCCCTGACATTCACTTTGAAACCTAGTTATACTGACGTTTTCAAAATATGTAGTGTGCTGCTGGTATGTTCGTCAATAAACTTTTTATTTTCAAATGAAATCTCTAACACGGAATGACACATGACAGTTTTACCGAATATGAAATAGCGAAAAAAGGTAGATTTGAGTATAATAAAAAGCAAAATAAAATAAAATAAAATATTAATAAAAAACAATCACGTCACTCAGCTCATATTTGTTTTTTTTTTCTTTTGTAATTTTTTTTAAAAGTATGCTCCTCTTTTTATTGTTTTATCCTTTAATTTAAATTATTATTATTATTATTATTATTATTATTATTATTACTACTATTATTCTTGTTATTATTATTCTTGTTATTGTCATTGTTAATTATTCTTGTTATTATTCTTATTATTGTTATTGTTATTATTGTTATTCTTATTATTGTTATTATTATTGTTATTCTTATTATTGTTATTCTTATTATTGTTATTATTATTGTTATTGTTATTCTTATTGTTATTGTTATTATTGTTATTTGTTGACGGTCAAATTTCGTCAACAAGACCATACCGGATTATTCCGCAATAGGCCGTTGAGTTACCGGTTCGAAACTTGTAATTTAACTAAATATGCTAGGGTGTATATTGGTACTTTGGGTTATGATGCTCACGAAAATAAAGACACACTGAGGTTTTATAGTGGTTCACCCTTCTAAAAAAGAGCTACATCTACTGTATTATATTTCTCTTGTTTCGCTCATACAAATTACATAAAAATTGGAGAGTGTCCTCCTTCTCTCGGGGGCTTTGCCCCTTTTATAGCTAATAAGTTCCCTCTTGAACCCATCCGACGGTGGGTTGCTTTTAGGGCTTTCTGACGGTCCCAAGTGGCCCATCCGCTCGAGTGGGCTACCATCTCGTCTGTCTAGTCCGTAGCCTGTCAGCGCCCTTTGGACTGTTCACTCATCTAGTTTGCCCCCTCATTGCGGCTCTGAAGATCCTCTGTAATACCAATTGATCTGTTCTAGGCGGTTTAAGGGGCTTGTAATCATTTCCAATGCAACTGACCTTCCCCAAACCCAGATGCAACCTTGGGATACCCAGCAAGTCACCTCAGGGTTCTTCCTCGGGATGTGGGTCCAATTGCTCGCGCCTTGACCTCTGCGCTTACACCAAAAGATGCCACGCGTGGAGTCTCTCTCGGTCATTCCTACTGCGGCACTTGACACTAGGGGTGGCAATTTGTGTCACGTGTTGTGTTCGTGTCGTGTTTTGATCATTTTTTAAAAATTTGCAGTCAACCCGAACACGACCCGTGACACGAAATTTTTTAAAAACCGCAACACGAACACGACACGACCACTTTACAAGCTGACACGACACGACTCAAAAATGACCCGTGACACGAAATTAACCCGTGAACCCGAAATTGACACGAAAATTGTATACTTTTATTTAGTTTTTTTACATATTAGAAATAACTTAAAATTCATAACACACTAAATTACAATAACATCCATTGAAATTAAGTAAATAATAGTATAAGATTTTGAGTATAATTATCATGATATTACAAGTTCATAATAAAATTTAAAATATGAAATGAAAAATATATGTATTTTTTAGTTTTTTACGAGTTTCGTGTCGTGTTCGGGTTAGGCGGGTCCAACCCGAAATTGACCTGTATTTTTCGTGTCAATTTCAGGTCGACCCAATTCTGACCCGAACCTCTTTTTTCTCAACCCTAACCCGTAAAATTCGTGTCGTTTTCGAGTCGTGTCGTCGTGTCATGACCCATATTGCCGGCCCTACTTGACACGGTACTCGCAACCCTCAACCGAGTATATAGGGTCGACGGTATCGGCCCCCTATGCACTCGGCTCTCATACCACGCAGAGGGGCAAATCTTCTCAAGCGTCGAGGGCTACCTGGCGTGACAGACATTGGGCCACGTGGGGCATGGTCGTTGTCCAACGTGTCCATGTGGATTTTCCCACACAACAGTTACCCCCCAGATCAAGGCTTTCCTTCAGACTGCCTCGAGCTAGGTCTGGGATCTGCTCTGGCCCCTTCTTTGTTTGCTTCGGACGTGGGAACCCACCTCCGAACCTCCCCTGTAATAATGACGGGTACTTCGAAAGCCCCTTAAGCAACACAAACGTCACGTCAGTTCAATCACCCTGCTGACGTGGATCTCTATTCAAACAGGCGAGTCCGAGGCGTTGGATCGTGTCTAGTTACCGGTTCGGTCTTGTTGACGAAATTTGACCGTCAACAATTGGCAACTCCACTGGGGAGCGAACCCAAGATCTCTGGTTCATGTGTTTGACCCTAGACAACCAACAATCATGCCTCCGAAAAGAAGAAATGGTGTTTCAAATCAAAACAACCAAACGAAAGAAAATACCACGCATCCAACTAACAGTGGGAGTGGGAGAAATCAGCCCCACCAGGGGAATCAACCCCCGGCGAGGGATGAAGCTCCACCCCAGGCACGCCACAGCTTGACCCGGTACAGATGCAGGCCCCACTGAGCATTTTGACCGACTTAGTTCGAGGACAAATGATTGTCAAGCTATTAGAAGGGAGAAACTCTATGCCTCCCTTAGAAGATGTCCCGAGACCACCAGGGGCTGCCATAGCTGGGAACCAGAATGCTGGTGACCGTCAAGGTACCTCGGAAGGGATCAAGGGACAGTGAAAATCCCATGGGAGATAACCTGAGACCTCGACCGTCCAAGTCCCTTGGTAGCCGACAAAGGGCCATCAGGCGATGAACCTAGGAGAGAAGAGCACACGACGGCCTGGAAAACCCTGAGGTGCCCCCTCAGAACCCGGGAAAGAATATCCCAGGAGATTCGGGGTCGGTGCAAGAAAGCGGAGACTTAGGGATAAGCTAAATACGAAAAAGGCAAGGGCCTTGAAAGGGTCTAGCTCTGCAATCTCAAAGGAAGAGGCGAAAGCCATTATGGAGCGTGTGACGAGTCTAGAAGAGAAGTTCACGGGTGACGTCGCCGGTTTAAAGAAAGACTTCAAAAGTCAGGTGAGCCACTTACAAACAAACATAGGACAGGTGGCGGAGGTGGTCAACGTCAACATCACTCCCAGTCGAACTCACGACCATCCTTTTACCGCAGAGATCATGGCGCCGTCTTTACCCGACAAATACAAATTCCTGACAATCCCACCGTACGATGGCAGAGGGGATCCCGATGACCACCTGGAAATGTACACATGGCACATGCTTCTACATGGATATGCGGAAGAAATAATATGCCGAGCGTTCCGGAACTACTTGACGGACTCTACCCGAAGATGGTTCCGGACACTCAAACCAGAGTTCATCTCCAGCTGGGAAGAGCTGAAGGAAAACTTATCCCTTCAGTTCATCGGAGAAAAGAAGTATATCCCGCCGAAGCAAAACTTGACGATGGTATACCAAAAACCAAATGAGTTATTAAAAGAATGGCTTGCGAGATACGGGGAAGCCGTCGTTGCTACAACGGATATGACGGACCAATAGGCTCTGATAGGAGCCCTGTCCAGTATAAAGAAGACCGCGCCGTTTAAGCGCGACCTAAACCGGAAGTCACCGACCACCTACAAAGAGTTTCTGGCACAGGCACAAGGGTATATCAACGCTGATGAAGCCAACGCGAACGATCCCGAGCACAGGTCCAATAATAACAAAGGACTAGAACAAAGGTCGACCTTAGGGAAGCAAGATAGTCAGAAATGACGAGGCGGAGGAAACGGAGACAAGCAGACCGCGTCAGTGCCCATCCCCTCAGAAACAAAGAAGCTGGGGCAAGAGGAAAATCAAAAGCCTCGGCCATTCCAAGGGTATGACTCCTATCACGAGCTTACTGTAGCATCGAGGAAGTATTCAATCAAGTCGGACGAGGAAACTTACTACGCTGACCAGAACCGATGAAGTCGGACCTAAACTGAAAGACTTATAGCAAGTATTGTCGGTTCCACAGTGACGTCGGCCACAACACCAACAACTGCGCCGATCTAAAGGATGAAATTGAAAGGTTAATCTGCGATGGGAGGCTACAAAAGTTTAAGGCTGAAAAGCGAGGCCATGGTCCTGGAAATGACGGTTGACGCCGGG